TTGTATGGATTTGGAGAACTGGAATTTTACTTTCACAATAAAAAGATTTTGAAAAACAGCATATGCAAAAATAGCTGTATACATGGATTCAAGAGAGCTGAAACATCCACATCCTACTGTACTTACTTAGTTCCTTTCCTTTCATGCATTCATGTCTTAGAGCCTGATCTCATGGATATTTAGTAAACAATAAGGCTGTTTCAAAAAGCTAAGTAATGGAGATTTGGGCCAAAGCAGATGCGGAATTAAATCCATCATGACTGAGGAAGAAGCAATTAACTGTCTGCATAGCAGTCTGGATGAAACGCACAACCACCCGAACCTGCTATTTTTTTTTTAATCTGATAGCTTCCATGTCTTGGGCTTGCCATCACAGCTTGCTTAGAACTTAGTCTTTAATTAGGGCATGATTCTTCCAGTCCGTTGCCTATTCTTGTCTGTGTGAAGTTATATCCAAACCACAAAGGGTCCAGGTTACCTTCCCCAAACTCTACTCCAGTAAACTGCAAGAGAGTGACAGAGAAGAATCTCTACTGTTTTCTCTGATCACTGATTGGAAATAAGCACAGGGATTCTCCCATGCTTTCCTTCTCAGTCAGAAAGGAGAACACCATGCAAAACTGGCCTCTCTCAGTCATTGGTATACTGTATAAGAATCAGGCTGAAATGGCTGCAGCATGTGTGTATGGTAGAGATGCGACCCCCCTCATTATGGCTGCCAAGTCAGCATTATATCAGTTCCTCAGTTTTCAGAGTCAAATCCTGAGTCCTAGAGTACAGCTGCCATATATCCAATTCGGTGAAGTTTTACTTAAATTTCTGACATACCACTTAATGTCCATTAAGTCCATTAGCTGGAACAAATTCTAAGTTTCATTTAAAAAATGATTCTCTAGTCCTTATAGAACTGGAGCTATGAAGCAAGACATGTAGCCAGTCTTCTGGCTGATTATTCTAAATTAATAAGTAAAGCCGTCTACAATCTGACAGGATTCTGTAGATGAATAAACTAAAATCTTATTTTCTCATGGCTGAATGTTGCAACTGTGGGAAAGTCGAGCCTAGCTAGTTCGTAGATTGCTGGAATCTTTCTGCAGATTGCTCTAGGAACAGGGCACAAAAAGCAATGAAACCTTAAGAATGAATGCTGGCTGAGGAAATTACAAGAACTGTAACCTTAAAAAGGAACGTTTCCAAGTTCTAGTGTTATGCTTCTTGTTTGGCTTACAGAAAACAACGTTCCATTTTATACTTGAAAGCTGGATGAGAGCTTAGTTGGTGACTACTTTGAGGAAAAGAGGAGTTAAGAAAAACAAGAAGAGATGTAGAAGAGGAAGAACAGGATGCATTAAAAAATGACAGTAATTAGTAGTGGTGGGGTTAAGTAAGGATAATTTTTGAGGAAGCTTCCATCTTCAATCCAATGGTGCATCTAGAGTGTAAGGATCAATGCCAGGTTCTGTCACTGACCAGGAGATGCCCAAAGGTGTTCACAGCCCTCACTTTCCGTAGGGACGTTCCTTCTGTTTGTCCCATGAGGTGTCCTGAAGTCATGAGAAGGAATCCCAAAATCTGGGGTGGAAGCACTCTATTCCCTGAGATTTCAAGGCCAAAGGTAGACCTGGACAATGAACTCCACATTCAGAATGGTTCCTTGTGGTCTATTTACAAGAAACACTGGTTGGTGTGGTTTTTGTTTCTGTTTTGACTCTAGAGGGGAGACCTGGGGGATTTTGGTAACAGCAAGCTGGCTGTGCCGAAAACACAAAACAAAGCAAAAACCACCAGTGGGAGGGAAGGAGAAGCTGCCCTTGCCAATGATAACAGGGTCCTTGGCAGAAGTGGGCTTTTCCCACCCTTTTCAGCTGGGTGGATTCCTTCTTCCCGCCCTCCAACAGATGATTGTTGAAAACTGCATCTCTTCAGGGCAGAAGAGAAGGAAAGGGAAAAGGGGGAGGGAGAGAAAGTCCAATAGAGAATAAGATTTCTCAGTTAATTTGTGTAGGGGGAGAAAGACAGGGGCAGAAAGGAGGAACATCTAGAAAGAGGGAAAAGAACCAGACAGAGATTGAGGGACTGAAAGGAGGTCAGGGAGAGAAATAGCAGAATGAGAAAGAAAGCAGATGTACCTGGGCACATAAGCCACCCTGTGATACATTGACTTTTTATTACGTTGGGTAAGTATGGAGTAATGATAGCAGTATGCACAGTGATAGCAGATAAGAGGGTTAAAAGAAGGAACAAAGCAAATAGAAAAAAGAAAACAGGAAGATGTTGCAGGGTACCCTCTGAAAAGCAAGCAGATAAAAACCAGCCTTCAAGGCTGCCACAAATGACACTTGAGCGAAATGTCCACTTTTCTTTGCTCTCAGTGGTTACGGTATCTAGCTATGGAGCCAGAGGTTGGAAGTTCAATTCCACACTGTGGCCCCTGTGAGTAGAGCCAGTATATGTGGCCTTGGGCAAACTACACGGTCCCTTCTGCTTCCAGAAGAAGGGAAGGTATACTTCTGAGTATACCTAGAAAACTCTGAAAAGGGTCACCATAGGTCAGAATTGACTTGAGGCACATGATGATGATGATGATGATGATGATGATGATGATGATGATGATGATGAAGAGAGTAACAGCAACAGATTAGAGTTTGGGATATCACATTTAAAAAAAACTTGATGTGTCTGGGTGTGCTTTGCTGAGAAAAAGAACATATATGGGGAAACATAATAATAGTTTTCAAATGTCTAGAATGTTGCCTTGGGGGAAAAAACTGTAGAATGGCTTCTTGGGCCTAGCCATCACTGTAGTAAAGCAGATCTCAGTCAGAGAGACTTTTAGTAATGCAGAGCTTTATAATTATTATAAAAACAAATGAACTTAATGACATCCTGGAGCCATCCTTAAGTAAGCAGCAATGTGATGATGCTCTGGGTCTTGGAGCATCCTCTTACAATTACTCATTTAAGGATGACTTCAGCATATAATTACATTCATTTATAAAAGTAATATACCATGCATCTCAGGGAGTGGACTCTCTTAAATTCATGGAAGTTCTCTCTCTCTCTCTCTCTCTCTCTCTCTCTCTCTCTCTCACACACACACACACACACACACACACAAACAGCCTGCGTACATCACACACAACGTATATCTCTACCTATATCTATCTTTATAGATATGTTGCTTCAAGGCACTGCAGGATCTGTTTTTCAGTTTCACATGCCTTATTTCAACTGCCTTTCAAATCTCCATAAAGATGTGTGGCAACATTATTTTTATAGACTCCTTCCCTCCTCTATATGTCTCACACTGACAGCAGCAGCAAACATAAACCCTAGAAGTTTTAATTCATTTCTTTTATTGCACATCTCAAGTTTTAGCCAATTCATTTTTTAAATTAAAAACATAACATACAGAAACAGTTATTACATATCTTGCACATTAAGAGGAACAGATGATATCATACAATTAACATATCTCTCCATCTGGTCAGCATGGAAGCTCAGGGGGATCACTGAAGGAATCTGTATGATTGTTAAAATGCTGAATAAAATGGAGCCAAGTTTTAAAATTTTATCTGTGTTGGGATTCTGGTTAATTGATGAATGAACATCTGGATCATTTGGATACAAGTTGGTGCTTATCACTTGGTGGCTCTTTTGATTCTGGTGTATTATTATAATAGGAAAGATTTTTTTTATTATTTTCTTTCCTTTTTTGGACGAAGGCTTGTAGATGTTATGCAGAAGCTGAAGATTCTACTTCCATTCCTTGAGAGTGAGTCTCTGGTCACAAACTGAATAAACTGACAGTCTTCTTCTTGACTGTCCATCAGACTGAGTCTTAGTATACTTTGAAGATGGGACACCTTTGATTTTGAGAGTGTAAGTTATAGGAGACTGATAGCACATTATTAGAACCTGAAAGCATTTTAATTTATCATCTAAATCAGGGCCCCCCAACCCCCAGTCCGTGGCCCCGTGACGGTCCGTGGCCTGGGCTGGACCGGGCCGCGGAGACAGATCTCCTACCCACCCTGCATGCACTTCCACTCCCTGCACAGCCCCTTTCCGCAAGGGTGCGAGTGTGTGCATGTGTGCAAGTGCCCCTCACCCCTTTGCGAGTGTGCACAAGTGTCCCCTGAACACTGTTCTTCCCTTTGCGCCTGTGTGAGTGCGCACCCACTCCTTCACGCATGCATGTAAGTGTGTGCGCCCCTGCACGAGTCCACTCCTTCACACATATGCACGAGTGCAGAGGGGTGCCCCGCCTTCCTCAACTGATCCATGAAGTTAAAAAGGTATGGGACCACGGATCTAAGTGATACCTTCTGAGTTTCATGCTTAAGCAAACTAAGCCTGTGTTTATTTTCCAGTGTCCAATCTCAAAAGTGAGCTAATATGCAAACTATGGGAAACAAAGAAAGCTTGGACCATGACAATTAGATATCTTTCAGCATTCAGGGAATTTTAAGTTCTGACAATATGTTATCTGTAATGGATGGTATGACCCAAAGCAGACTATGATTAGTCCACATCTGAGATTCTCGGCCTCCAAAAGGCCCATCCAAGATATCTGAAAATAGGGTATGGCCAAAATACTGGCATAACACTATCAAATGTAGACACAACAAACGTTTATTGAAGAAGAAATTGTCCTTTCGGGCATCCCATGTAATTATTCATATAAGCTTTCACAATGAACGTTGCCAGATTTGTTACATAAGCACATGCATTTCTTCCACTGGAACTGAGCAAACACGATTAAGTAAGTGCCAGTTGTCACCCTTCATATTTCTATTTTCAAAATGGAAAAACAAACGTTTGGAACACTGTGCTTGTTAGATTTTTCTTTTAGATCACCTGTGGACATACATTTGAATGCTGTGAAAATTAAAATCGGGGTGTTTTTGTTTTTGTTTTGTTTTGTTTTTGAGCCACAGTTCTCAGCCACAGACAAAGACAGGCAAAGGAGCCGCAAGTACACAAGATGAAAAACTTACTTTACATTTCTTTACAGCAGCATTACACGGTGGTTCTGCCATCCAGACCTTCCCAGGAGATGGACTTCCAGCTATTTCACTCTGCGTTTTTCGTCATCAGTCTTGCCACCTTCCCCTTTAAAACAAAATAGTCATGTACTGAACGGCTGTTATGATCATTCTGTTGTATGTCAAAACCTAGATACAAGGGTTTTGCTTTGAAAAATAAGTTTGGAAAATGCTGCAACAAGTGTAAGCAATTCACATTTTATCCAGCTGCAATTCTTAGCTGAAATACTGTGTTTGTATTTACTGTATAAGTTTTGTAGAACTCCCAATGAAGATTAATGGAATGTCATAAAATCCGATCTAGATAAGAACTGTCCAGGCCAGAGTTTTGAACTTTTGATTAGTTTGTGTGTCTGTATTTCACTCAAGGTCTCACTGCTTCATTGGCTTGGTAATTCTAGTGGTACATAAACAAATGTGTGTGTTTTAGTCTAGGACACATCTGCCATTCCTGTAGACATTTTTACTTCTGATGGCTTGGTGCAGTACAATATCTTGTCTTAATTGGTACAAAATGTTAAAATGTGCAAAAATTGTAATTTTAGGACAAGAGATTATTGATGTAAATAATGATACTAGTGTGGTTAAGGAAGATAACAAGAAGTCTAATTCTGGAAATTTAGAGCCAGCCAGTTTTTCCTTTTAAAGAAACCATTTCCAGCAGCAAAAATGAAATGACAGAAATAGGCTGCTGTGGTTTCCAGCCAGGAGGGGAAAACTTTTGAGTTTTACAAAGTGGAACAAATGGCATCTAATAGAATGAAATTCTACTTTTTTGAGTAAGTGGGAAGTTATAGTAGAAGTGGAAATGTCACAGGACTTTCATTCTTCCTTCCTTATTCTAAGAACACCAAGGTTTTTCAAATCTTGTGACTTCATTTTCAGAACATTTATTTATTTATTTATTCTATTTATATCCTGCCTATCTGGTAACATGACCACTCTAGGCGGCTTACAGCATCATAATACAATAATAAAATAATAACAGCAGCATTAAAAAAGAATTATTACAATCAATATTTAAAAAACATCAAGATGGGAAAAATGAAAAATGAACTACAAGGAGGAGAGAGGAAAAGAAAAGAGTATTAACTGGAGGTGAAGGCCTGCCTGAACATCCATGTTTTCAGTTGTTTCTTAAGAATACCCAGCAAGGGAGCCACGCGAATCTCTGGAGGTATGTTGTTCCAGAGGTGGGGAGCCACCGCCGAGAAGGCCTGGTTTCTTGTTTTTTCCTTCTGGGCCTCCCTCAGCGTCAGGCTCCTCAACCTCACCTCCTGGCTTGCGCGGGTGACACGGGTAGAACTTGGTGGGAGTAGACATTCTGCCAAATATCGAGGTCCTAAACCATTTAGGGCCTTATACATGAGCATCAAAACTTTGAAGTCGATGCGGAACCAAATGGGCAGCCAATGCAATGCGGCCAGAATAGGAGAGATATGTTGGAATTTTCTCGCTCCCGTCAGGAGTCTGGCTGCCGCATTCTGCACCACCTGGAGTTTCCGCGTCAACAGTGTCCCCGCGTCTAGATAGGGGCGCAGCTGGGTGATCTGCGAAAAATGTAAGTGGGCAGACCGAACCACGAATGCTGCCTGTGTCTCCATGGTAAGTACCGGGTCAAGATGGACCCCCAGATTGTAAACCACATTCTTTGTGGTGAGAGTTGTCCTCCCCAAAAAAGAGGGAGTTCCCCAAACCCCTGACATCAGAGGTGCCCACCCGCAAGACCTCTGTCTTGTCCGGGTTCAACCTTAGTCCATTCGACTGCGTCCATTGCAAGACGGTCTCCAGGCAGCGCTCAAGGGACGGAATGGCATCCACTGCAGATGGAAGAAAGGAGATGTAGAGCTGGGTGTCATCATCATACTGGTGACACAAAGCTCCACATCCCTGGATGACACCCTCTCCAGCGGCCTCATATATATATTAAACAGCATTGGGGAGATAATCGACCCCTGTGGAACCCCACAATTGAGACTCCACGGGGCTGAGACACTCTCCCCAAGCTGCACTCTCTGGGGATGGTCCTCCAAGAAGGAACGGAGCCAGGCCAGCGCCAGGCCATCAGTTCCCAACTCAGAGAGCCTCCCCAGGAGGATACCATGGTCGACGGTATCAAAGGCTGCTGAGATGTCGAAGAGGAGCAACAGAGACATTTTACCCCGGTCAGCCTCCTTCAACAGGTCATTGTACAGGGCGACCAATGCCGTCTCTGTACCGTGGCGTGGCCTGAAGTCCAACTGAAATGGATCCACGGCATTGGTTTCATCCAAGAGAGCCTGAAGCTGATCAGCCACCACCCTCTCCACCACTTTGCTAATGAAAGAAACATTGGTGACGGGCCTGTAATTGCCAATTTCATCTGCCACCAAACTAGGTTTCTTTCTAATGGGCCTAATGAGTGTTTCCTTGAGGGCAGGAGGGACCCTGCCCTCAAGGAAAGACCCATTAATTATTGCCATGGCCCATTTTGTTGTTATAGGCCTGGCTGCTTTGATTAGCCAGGCCGGGCAAGGGTCAAGGGAGGATGTGGTGGCTCAACAGCGATCAAGCACCTTGGCCACAGAATCAGGTGTTACAGGCTGAAAGGAGTTGAAAATCACTGTGCAAGACGGAGCGCTGGACATGAGCCCCTAGCCTTGTCTCAACCATCTGTTCGATGGATGAAAATCTGGAAGGTCTATCACGTCCTGCACAGTATCCTCTTATATTACAGTACATGATTATCTGTAGAGCTAGGCAAAAGGCTATTAGGACTGTTGGCAGGTCTCCCCTCCTTCAGGGAAATAATGCTTCTAGTTTCTTTTCCCACTGGAGGTCAATGACAGCAGATCGTTGCCATTCAGTCTCATGACTGCAAGTTGGGTTGCTAAGTTATCTGAATCCCATTCCAAAAATGTAAGATGATATGTGTGTGTTTGTGTGGGCAGATGACTGGGATATCACAGGGAAGTATCTTGTGATCCTGCTGACCAGTTCTTTGTGATGTCACAGAGGCAAGACAAGGACAATTTTGGAGGGCAGCTGACATGACTTCTGGGCCTGCTGATTTGGGAAATAGGGACAGGGAGATTCAGGTGAAAGTGTGCAGAATCTGGATGAAACCCAGGCAAATCAGATAATGTGACGGGCTGGAGCCAAAGGAAAAGCATTTTTATTTTTTTGGTAAAATGCTCCTAGCAGCTCCAGCAGACACCACCATTCCCATTAGGGCTGTCACCAATAGCTCATGTAGAACAGATGCACAATCTATGAGGTTGTTCAAGATCTGTGCCACTGACGCTGCTATGATTTAACTAAGGTTGTTGGTTTATTTCTTGGGCATGCACCTATGCACTGCTCTACGGAGCAAGAAGGCTCACAAGTCATGATGCTGGCATTCCCCTCCATTCCATGCTCCAAGCAGTACAATGGGCACAAGTGCATGTGCTCTCTGGTTTTCTCGCACAAACCTTCCCTTATGCCTAGGTTATTTGGCGCATGGATGTTGAGCAAGCACATCATGCACAAAAATACCTTCACACTATATCCGTGAGTCTTGGCACTTGGCTGGGAATGAGCAGGCCTGGGTGTCCTGGTTTAAACACATACTGATATGAAAAAAATCCACTTTTCTTTTTCATCAGTGCTACTTGCCTTGAGGTTTATCTTTCTTTCTGGAGAAGTGAGGAAGCATCGCAACTCCCTGAGACTTTTCCTAACTCCTGAGACCTGGTAAACTTAGCTGGCAGCAAAATATGCTAAATCTTCCCAATAGCCCTTCTTTACTGGGTACTTCATCTCTCATTTTTGTGAAGAATTTTTGTGGGAAGGGGGAACCGGAAAGACCCATCCTCCCTTTTCATTTGCTTTCTTTAACAGTTTTGTAACAGGAAGGCTGAAAGATCCCAATGGATATTAAGGTAAAGGTAAAGGTTCCCTTTGACAATTTTTGTCCAGT